AAAAAAGTTGTGGAATACTTTAAAAACAATGTTCCTCAACGTCAAATTGCAAAGGCTTTGAAAGTCTCATCATCGACAGTGCATAACATCATCAAAAGATTCAGAGAAACTGGAAAAATCTCTGTGCGTAAGGGACATGGCCGAAGAACTTTACTGGATGCCTGTGATCTTCGGGCCCTCAGACGCCACTACATCACTCACCGGCATGATTCTGTCATTGACATTACTAAATGGGCCCAGGAATACGTCAAGAAACCACTGTCTGTAAACACAGTCCACTGTGCCATCCACAGATGCCACCTAAAACTCTATCATGGAAAAAGGAAGCCATTGTTGAGCATGATCCAGAAGCGCCACCGTGTTCTATGGGCCAAGGCTCATTTAAAATGGACTGTAGCAAAGTGTCCTGTGGTCAGACGAGTCCAAATTTGACAGTCTTGTTGGAAATCGTGGGCGTTGTGTCCTCCGGGCTAAAGAGGAGAAAGACCACCCCTCCTGTTATCAGTGTTCAGTTCAAAAGCCAGCATCTCTGATGGTATGGGGATGCATTAGTGCACTATGGTGTGGGACGCTTGCATGTTTTAAAAAGTGCAATGAATGCTGGAAGGTAAAGGTTTTAGAGCAACATATGCTCCCCTCCAGATGACATCTATTCCAGGGAAGGCCTTGTGTATTTTAGCAGAACAATGCAAAACCACATACTGCAGATATTACAATAGCATGGCTTCATAGTAGGAGAGTCCGTGTGCTGAACTGGCCTGCCTGCAGTCTTGATCTTTCACCGATTGAGAACATTTGGCGCATAATTAAATGAAAAGTCCGTCAAAGGAGACCCAAAACTCTCCAGCAGCTGGAAGCCTGTATTAAACAAGAGTGGGATCAAATTCCAATGGCTAAAATCAAGAAACTTATCTCCTCAATGCCCAGACGCCTCCACTCTGTGTTAAAAAGAAGAGGGGATGCTACACCATGGTAAACAGGCCCCTGTCCCAACTTTTTTGAGACCTGTAGCAGCCATCATATTTGAAATGAGCTCATTTTGTGGATAAAATTTTAAAATTTCTCAGTTTCAACATTTGCTATGTCATCTCTGTTCTACTGTGAATAAAATAGTGGCTGGTGTGATTTGAAAGTCATTGCGTTTTGATTTAATTCACAATTTACACTTTGTCCCAACTATTTCGGAATTGGGGTTGTATATTGGAATCAAACTCTTCATATATATATATATATATATATATATATAAAAACTAACGCTGACATTTCACATGTTCAATAATTGTAACATCAGTAAGGATCCACGTTTCAAATGTTAATTTTAATCATTGTAAATTTTTATTGTAAATCTCCCTTCCCCTCTCAGTGGAGTCACAGAAAACACTGAAAATTTTTAAACTGACACGATGGTTGCCCTTGCAAACCCAGGTAGTTCCTCGGTTAACAATGTTGCAACAATATTCCAAAACATCCCCCAGGCATTATTACACAAAACAAAGCAGTTACACAAAGTCATACTGGTAATGACATTGGCAAGGCCTGGAGTGACACACCAAATGTACGGCAATTACACCCATATCCTCCCCAACACCGCATCTGGCATTTTTGCATTACCATCCTCTTCCTGAATCATGAGCAGTGCATAAGTGCGTAAAATGGGTATCGGCCATTAGGGAGTGTACTGCATGTAAACAGTCCGCAAATTACTCTCAGCTTCAGAGGTAACAAATACCTCAATCCATTAGTTTTCAAAATTGCACTTTTGTTAAATAACTAAATTCCAATTCCAAGACAGCCATACACATCTCAAACTATAAATAAAACTTTTATTTTTGAGGGATGACGTAAGTGAACAAAGAGATTCTCAACTGCTGCACCACTGGCAACTAAAGCATTCAATGTGACTTTTGTAAGAAAGTTTACCAAACTATTACGGCATGAGGAAGAAGAGATATCAAGTGTCAATGTCAAGCTCGCAAATGCCTCTCCCGGATTTCATCTGGTTACTTTGTTCATCCTGCAAGATGGAATTATTATATTTTCTTCAAAGAAGGGCACCATTTTCTCAAGGTTATAACCGCTGAAGTTTTTGGCTTGTTTTTAAATACAGCCAGACACTGTTTTGCCTGTGCCGTCCTGAAATTCACACATTTCAGTTAAACACATCACCCAGTATTTCATTAGCAAGCACACATTTTCCCTTATCACAAAAAGGGAGCAATCAGCAGAGAAACACAAGACAAAAAACAAATAAATATGATATATAGCACCCAAAAAAAATAAAATCATACAATTTGAGAAAAGCTTAATGCATGAATAACTTGTTCATATATATTTCCTTTTCTCAGGCTGTAATAAATAAAAACGATATGACCTGTGCCTCATTTCTTTTGTTCGTCTATCAAAGACACTCAACTCATGAACTTTTGTTTTGAGTCAAATTATGACATAAGGCTATCAAAATTTCTTTGATGTTAAAACAGGCTTGGCAAGATCAGACTGACTTACTGTACATCTGAGAGACAAGAAACGCACGTGGTTGGCTGAGGATCTCCGAAATTAAGTATAAGAGCCATTAGTCCTGTGAAAAACCAGAATGGCATTCGTGCATTAAGGGGCATCCCAGACGGCAGTGAGGAGTCTCTTAAAAAGAAATTAAAAATGATTAACAGCCTCAGTAGTAACATTGTGTAGTCTTGGAAAATTTGGCATAGTGATAACGAAGGCATAGTTCATTCCCCAGAGCATAGTTCATTCCCCAGAGTTCACGATGACTCCAGATCAGTTACAGTCGGGCAAGGACAGGCCTCTGAGCAGGAACTTTCCCCCCTATGACAAGGAAAAAGTAGGAAAATGTAACTAAACGGGCAAAGGTGATACACTTGTTTTCCATTAATTGAATACAGCTCTTGTCAATGAATTATCACCAGTGTTAGCATTTTAGAGTACCAAATCTAGGTCAGCGCAATATAAAGTTTATTTAGGCCACCAAACAGAATTATTATGCGAGAGGAAAACTTGTGTCTCAAAATAGTTTTCTAAAAGGACCAAAATAGCAGCGTTAAGAGTTTCTAATAAATAATCAGGGATAAACACGTTGTAGTTGTATATTTATCCAATGAGTCGTTATCAAATAATTCTTACCTAGTGTATCTTCTACAGCCTTCACCGCCATCTTGTGCAGTTTTAGAGTTACTTGATCAGTCCTGGAAAAAAATAAACAAACAACAGATAACCATACAGGTTCAAGATCGACATCACCTTTCCCACACCTGCAGAAACACAGATGGTAACTGCCTGGCTTTTGGCAAGGTGTCATATGTTTAAAGGATCCAATCATTTTTCAATGCCTCGTAGTTCCTTTCGTGTGGGCAACTGTCTAGGTGACTTCGTTCAAACTTACGTTTTAACTTTTCTTAAGGCATTGATCCTCAGAAGGGCAGCAAGTGCATTCTTCTGTAAGTCTGAAGAAAGAGCTTCATAGCATTTTAGGCCATCTGGACAAAGAAAAAAAAAAAGAAAACGTTAATTCCCAACTGTGCTACCATTGGCAGCCACAGGGATAGCGCTTTTGCCTGCTTTTTGGCACGTTTGCAGTCTGTGGTTTAACAGTGCTCCACTTTAAAGCGCATCAGCCTGCTTTATGCGCGGGCGGAGTGGGAGCAAATTGTTAAAATGTCTATTACTGCAGCTTCAGGTGGGATTTTAACACAGCTGGTCCCCAAGGCATTTGTGCTAAAAGGCCTCGGGTGGCGGGCGGTACCTGAGAGGATGTGTTTCACGATGAAGCTGCGGACAGCTGGGATGTACTGTTTCTCCGTTAGGCCCTCGCCAGCCTCCTCGCAGAAGAACCGACACACCATCTATGAGGGAGGAGAGGTGGGGCCCTAGAAGTCAATGACCAGTGCAGAAAGCCTAAAGCGCATGATGCACATAACCACACCCGTCCAACAATCGCCCACGTTGACACCAAGCACCAACACTGGAGATCCACAGCCATTCCACTGGTGGTAAAAGCACCAAATGGTACATTTTGGATCTCAAAAGAATTGACTCCCAAGAAGCAGTGACGGCAACAGTGCCATTTTACGCCTCAACGACAATAAGGAAAACACAAATGACCACTTTAAACAAAATTGAATGTGTGTAAACATTGCCATTCAAGAAGCATTAGCATCTAATGTGCTGCTCCATCCATGTACATCAGGCGCCCAGCGAGTAACCCTTAGGCTAATAAAGCTAACTGCTCATTTGGAGCAAGCGTTGATTTCACCTTCTGACTGAGCAAGCTGATGGCTCTTCACGCGAGAACACAGAGAGGTGCGGAGTGTGTCCATACCTGGTACCCTTGAAGGAAGGGCTCCAGCATGCCTCTGAGGAAGGAAAGGATGGGCTGACCTCTTTCGGTCACCACGATGTCCTGCTTCAACATCTGGACGGCTCCACACTTCAGCAGCAGGTAACAGCCCTCCTCAAAGTCCTACCAGAAACAGCAGGACTGAGAATCACGAGAGAATCATTCCAAACAACCGACACTTCTATGGGCTATGGACCTTTAGCCGAGATTGTTGTGGCAACTGCATAATTCGAGCAATCATCAATACACAAAAAAATAGCCGGATCTAGCTTTTTCGCCAAAATTTCTTACACTTCCGGAGCACAGCCTGCTAGTGGCTAGGTCTATTGCATGTGCATAATAACACTGAACAATAGCAATCTTATTGTCTACATCAGCGCTTTTTCCACCTCTCCTGGAATACCACTTCTCCTGCATGTTTTGAGCTCTTCCTGCTCCAGCACAGGTGAGTCAAATGATCAGCTTCTTACCCGTGAAGATTCTTGAGAATGAGCAAATCATCACAATCATCCGCAATAGTGGGGAGAGATCTAAAACCTGCGGGAGAGGCGGCACTCCAGGAGAGGTTTGAGAAGCACCGATCTACATCATCTGTGATTGTTGAAGGCAACGCCAAAATTATGCTTGAAATTAAGTCAATTAGAGCTGCCGGATAGCTCACTCGGTAAAGCATCGCGTTGCGAGGCAGAAGTGACGATTACGTCGCGGGTTCGATCCCCGCTTCGTACCAGCCGGCAGTGGTCGGCAGCTTTTTCAGAGTAGCGCACAATTGGCTATTGCGCTACAGGGTTGCAAATTGAGAAGGGACTGCTGGAAGGGGAATATAATAGTTGCCTTGTTCGTTGCTCAAGCGCCTCCTGTTGGCCAGACGGGCGCTCGCCAGGAAGATTCTAAGCCTGGTCATGTCTGGGTATCCTCCACCCTCGTTCTGAAGTTGAAGATTCAACCAATAAGTGTATAAGAAGCGTGGCTGACAGGCACGTGCTTTGGAGGAGAGCCGCGAACTGTCTTCACTCTCCTGAATTGGCAGCACTGGGTCGCATACGAGCAAGCCTTGTATAAAGTTCACTAATTGGGCATTCCAGATTCAGGTGGGATTGGAGATGCAAAATTTATAAAAAAAAAAAAAAAGAAATTATGTCAATTAGGGCTGCACGATAAACGGAATCGCGATTATCGCAAGCACAATAAAAGTAACTGCCTCTATGAGGCAGACAGACGAGTTTGCTTATTACCTTTTCTATGACACATACCTAATGCGATCATTTGAAATGCTTCCAGGAAGAAAACTGCTTTGAAGTCTGCTAATTACCAGCCAGGTTGGACAGCCTCCATCTCCTTGGCATTAGTTTGCCTTAAATCAATTCCTGTGTACTTTGCCCAACCTGCAATCAAGCCATTTATTCAGCCAAGTGACCAATCAAATTCATCATTGGCCACATTTTGGTTAAGAAGAGATAATGAGAAGCAGACGGACCTAACCAGGCTACCGTGTTAGGTTGAAAGAATGTTAATAATCTGAATAAATGGCAGACCTCTGAACTCCACCTCTCGTAGAATTTTTACATGCCATTAAAAAGATTAATTAAAAATAAACCATTTTAAGATGGCCCTGGTTTTTAAGCGTTTCAAAACCTACACGCAGTGGAAAACATTTTGTTAAGCATCTCAAGCGTGAAAGTGAGAGAAATAATATGTTTGCATTGCACGCAATAGACAAATACAGCGAAGACTTGGCAAACAAGTTCAGGCGAATCTGTGCCGCAAATTTGTTGCATTTTTTTTTTGATAATTGAACAAGATTAATTTAAAATAAAGTAGGCCTAATTCATAGCTCTTAATTTTGGTTACTTTTGAGCGTCTAAATAGCCAACAGTGAATGCGCTTTCACACTGGACACGAAACAAATTTATCGTACGACAGATTACATTCAAAGTCAATGCAAAGACGCGAATACATGCGAAACGCGCAGTAAAACGCGTGTATTCGCGTCTTTGCATTGACTTTGAATGTAATTTGTCGTGCGAAAAATTCGTTTCCCGTCCGGTGTGAAAGCAGCTTGAAGGTGGAAAACATTTTGTTTAAGCGTATCGGACGTCACGTGTAAACTTTTAACGCATTCGCACACAGCGCAGCAGAATGTAAAACTAGAAATACTCTAGCAAACAGTTTCAGGCAAATCTGTCATGTTTCATGGTCATTTAAATTTCAAAATGTAACAAACAAAACATATTCAAATAAATCAGACTGTCTACCAATTTAAATCGTCAATTGAGCGAATCAACTGTTTGATTGCAAATTGAGCAAAGTAATTGGGAAGGGGGTGAGAGCAATTGTTGGGTAGAGGATGATGATTTTGCAGACATTAACTCCTTCAACCCCACAGCCCTCTACAGAGGGCTGACCAACATATTCCCTTCAACCCCAAATTCCTGTGGGGAAAATTCAAACAATCTGACTAATTGATTGGAACATATCAGGTTACATTTAATGGGATTCCAGAGATAACAGAAAGATACAATGTCCAGATAATGACCAGCCCTCTACAGAGGGCTGTGGAGTTGAAGGGTATAGTGATGCTAGAATATCTGGGGTTGAAAGAGTTAACTTTGCTTTGTTCAGCATGTAATTTACCTGAATGTGTTTGCGAGATTATTTCTGGTTTTACATATGGTCGCGCTGCATGCGAATGCAATAATTTCGACTCGTCACGTTCGATACGCTTAAACAAAATGTTTTCCACCTTCATTTTAGGCTATTTAGACGCTCAAAAGCAACCAAAATAAACAGCCATTAATTGCTTTATTTCAAATCTTGTTCAATTATCAAACAAAAAATGCTCCTAATTTGCGTTTGCCTGAATGTGTTTGCCAAGTCCTCGCTGCATTTGTCTATTGTGTGCAATGCGAAAATAATTTCTCTCACTTTAACGTTCGATATGCTTCACAAAATTTTTTCACTTTGTGTATATTTTGAAACGCTTAAAAACCAAGGTCATCTTAAAAAGGTTTCTTTTTTAATTAATCTTTTTACAGATATGTAAAAATTCTACGAGGTGGATTTCTGAGGTTTGCCATTTATTCAGATTATTGACATTCAATCAAACAGGGCAGCTGGTTAGGTCTGTCAGCTTCTAATTATCTCTTCTTAATCTTAAGTGGCCACATTTTGGTTTTGATCAGTCAGTTGGCTGAATAAATGGCTTGCTTGCAGGTTGGACAAAGTACACGGGAATTGATTGGTAATTAGCGGACTTCAAATCACAGTTTTCTTCCCGGAAGTATTTCAAATAGCCGCATTAGGTATGTGTCATAGAAAAGGTAATAAGCAAGCACGTCTGTCTGCCTCATAGTGGCAGTTACTTTTATTGCGCTTGCGATTATCACGATTCCGTTTATCATGCAGCCCTAATGTCAATCAACTAAATATTGCCATTAAAGGCTCTTCATGAAACTTAGAGAAAATGACCGTTCCTCAGCTGTAAGTTTCTTGACACGGCTTCTACGCTCGGTATCGCCAAGTACCCGTAACCATGCACACCAAGGTAACTTTCCGCAGTTCCGCGAGACCGGAAGCGACTCGCACACCGAACTATCCCACAAAGCATCAGAAATGGGGTGTGACTGCAACATCAGAACGTTTTTTTTCGTACTGACGATTGCTCGAATTGCCAGCATATTCCCCCCTCTCCTACTGCATTCACCTCCCATGGATCATGCTCCTAGCACACAAGAGCATTAACGATCTTTGTAAACAAGAAGAGAAGGTAAATGGAAAACTCCAGAGTGCTGGGTCAACACGTAGAGGTTCAGCAAGAGAATGGCAGTACCTGCACAGCTGCTCCAGGGCAGAGAATGAATTCATTTGAAAAAACATTCCAAAGATACAGGAAGGAACTGTAGACATCATCTGCAACATGAAACATGACTTTAGCAAATTCCAGAAGGACAATTAGTACAGATTACTACATTAATAATTAGTAGATTAGTACAGTATCCTATGAAAAAGAATCTGGTATTTTTTTTACCCTCCAGAAACCCATCGTTCAGAATGGCAATAGGAGCACTACTGCTTCTGCAACTAAACCTTCGACTAAATGCACGTAATGCTGAATTAACAGTACCTTCCCCTCACCCATACAAAAAGGTGTCTTGCAAGCACATTTCTCGTGTTGTGGGAAAATAATTTCAGTATGTTAAGGGGAACTCGAGAGAAAATGACTATTTGACAGCAAGCTCTGCGCCAACCGCATTTACGTTTGACAGAAACTTCTTTAAATGCCCAAAACTATCCCTTTGAGGCTTTTCTTAGTGTACTGGTTCTGTCAAATTCAATTTCTGCCCTTAAGAGTGAACATGGAAAGCAGTCATCGACTTCAATCTACATATGAATGGCTTATATCCAGCTGATATCCCAAAGAAATTTCCATCTCCTTAGTCTATTAAACAGGCCATCATACTCCAGAGGGAAGATGTCAAACAAATATGTGATCAGGAAAGAGTTTGCTGTCTAATTTGCATTTATCTCCAGCGCACCCTGTTAATACTAAAATGATAACCGTTTTTTAAAGTTAATGCTGTCCGTGCTGCCAAGAGCAATTACCCATTCTTCAATCATCTCCTCCATATTTTTGCTGAGAAGTGTTTTTTGTAGAATGATTATAGAGTAAGCAATTTTGTATACATAGTGTGGCAATACCCTGCACTCCATGTACAAAACCCAAAACCAGTGAAGTTGGCACGTTGTGTAAATCGTAAATAAAAACAGAATACAATGATTTGCAAATCCTTTTCAACCTATATTCAATTGAATACACTACAAAGACAAGTTACTTAATGTTCGAACAGGTAAACTTTGTAATTTTTTGCAAATATTAGCTCATTTGGAATTTGATGCCTGCAACATGTTTCAAAAAAAAAGCTGGCACAAGTGGCAAAAAAAAGACTGAGAGAGTTGAGGAATGCTCATCAAACACTTATTTGGAACATCCCACAGGTGAGCGGGCTAATTGGGAACAGGTGGGTGCCATGATTGGGTATAAAAGCAGCTTCCCTGAAATGCTCAGTCATTCACAAACAAGGATGGGGCGAGGGTCACCACTTAGTGAACAAATCGTGAGCTGATTGTCGAACAGTTTAAAAACAACATTCCTCAACGAGCTATTGCAAGAAATTTAGGGATTTCATCATCTACGGTCCGTAATATCGTCAAAAGGTTCAGAGAATCTGGAGAAATCACTGCACGTGGCGACAAGTCCGAAAACCAACATTGAATGCCCGTGACCTTCGATCCCTCAGGCGGTACTGCATCAAAAACCGACATCAGTGTGTAAAGGACATCACCACATGGGCTCAGGAACACTTCAGAAAACCACTGTCAGTAACTACAGTTCGTCGCTACATCTGCAAGTGCAAGTTAAAACTCTACAATGCAAAGCGAAAGCCATTTATCAACAGCACCCAGAAAACGCCGCCGGCCGCTGGGCCCAAGCTCATCTAAGATGGACTGATGCAAAGTGGAAAAGTGTTCTGTGGTCTGACGAGTCCACATTTCAAATTGTTTTTTGGAAACTGTGGACGTCGTGTCCTCCGGACCGAAGAGGAAAAAGAACCATCCGGACTGTTATAGGCGCCAAAGTTCAAAAGCCAGCATCTGTGATGGTATGGGGGTGTATTAGTGCCCAAGGCATGGGAAACTTACACATATGTGAAGGCACCATTAATGCTGA